GAGAGAGGGAGGGAGGGAGTGCTGGCGGCAGCAGAGCGAACGTTGGGCTGGGAGCGCTGGCAGGAGCGGGAGCGCTGGCGGGAACGGGTTTGGGAGCCCTGGCGGGAACATGAGCAGGAGTATTGGCGGGCAGGGAATTGTGAGTGCTGGCGGGAACACGAGCGGGAGTATTGCCTAGAGAGAGAGAGAGAGAGAGAGAGAGAGAGAGAGAGAGAGAGAGAGAGAGAGAGAGAGAGAGAGAGAGAACAGAGGGAGAAAGAAAGAGAAAGAGAGGGATTTCAGGCAACTGTAATGTCTGAATATCGTGATTTGATCCTAGAGAGAGAGAGAGAGAGAGAGAGAGAGAGAGAGAGAGAGAGAGAGAGAGAGAGAGAGAGAGAGAGAGATGGCAGGTAACCGGGATGAGGTGGTGCGGGATTTCAGGCAACTGTATTTTCTGAATATCGTGATTTGATCTGATCATCGCTGTTAGTGCTTTCATCACAAGAATGAACAACGTCGGGGCTATCGGATCTCCTTGTCTCACCGATTGCTGGAGGCAAAACAGGGGGACTAGGTGGCTGTTGAACATCACATTTGTTGTGGCATTCCTGTGAACATGCTGATCCACTTGCAGAAGATGGGCCCTAAGATCATTCTGGTCAGGCACATGTCCCGGAAGTCTCTGTCAACATGGTCATATGCCGTCTCAAAATCTATGAACAACATGGCCTCTCCACTTTTCTCTGTCTCGCATAGCAGATGGTCTCATTGACTAACACAATATTATCTTGAATATTTCGGTACTGCACGAAGCCTAATTGGTCTGGAAGGATGAGATGTAGGAGAAGGGGTAGTAGTCTGTTAGCCCATGCCACAATTTCTGTATGGCGCAGCCAACAGGGTGATAGGGTGGTAGTTTCTGATTTCCGCTTTATCCCCTTTGTTTTGTATAACAGCGTAGTCCCCCCTTGGCCTATCATGTCTCCAAGGGACTTCTCATGGAAGACTGCATTAACATAGGCCATGGAGTCGTCTTCCAAGATCTCTCAAAAGTGGAGCCAAAACTACTTGAGAAGGCATCCAAACCAGACGTCGTTTCGCCGTCCATGTCTTGCAATACTCGGAGAATGTCATGTCGAGAGATTGGCGCATCCAAGCGGCTTCTTTGCCATGTCGACAGCGATGATGGGAGGTGTCCCTAGCATGCATCAAGGTCTCTGGCTGCCTCTGTGTTGTTTCCCAAGTGAACAAGTTTCTGTAGCAAGGGGAGGCATACTCTACAATGTTGTACGCAATTGTGGCTGTTGGGCGGGCTCCTTCAAATGGGTGTTTGAGGGAGGGCACAGTGCTTTGTCTACTTTTCGCGTTGGCTTTGTTGAAGCAGTTTTTGGACTGATAATATTCCAACTTCGTATTGTAATACCTCATTTTCTCCAATTGGTTTTGCTGTTTCGTGCACGGTATTGCTTTTAATTACTTCCCTAAGTTCCCTTACCAGTGCTTAGCGCCAATTGACTAGGAGGCAGGCATGGATACTTAAACCACCAGTACTTGGCCCAGCTATTGGCCGCAGAAAAAAAAAGAGTAGAAAGTACTAGAAACAGTTCTAGTGGGATGAATTTGGGCACTCCTGTAGTAGCCCGTACGTTTCCTAAAATCGGTGGCGCGTTAACGGGCACGACTCGAGGAAGTACTGGTGGTTTAAATAGAATCCTGAGAAGAGTTGCCCATTCTATTCATCGAGTGGATTCCATTGAGAATTGCGGGGGTTGCAGACATCCATCTTTTTGGCTCCTTTATGCTATCAGTCCCCTCTTCGGTGTGCTCTTGTTTTCGTCACAGACATGCTCCTTCTTCTTTGAGTCAGTCTTGCATGCCGCATTCAGAGAAAGCATCTCAATTTCTCTCTCAAAATCTATTGCATAAGTCCTGGAGTCTAGATCCATGTCTTTCCCGGGAATATTGTTCCTGATGATCTCAGCAAGTGATGACGCTATCAGTTCTGTTGGAATGCCATGTCCACAAAAAAAAGGGAATGCCATGTTCGAGCTTGCACACAGCAGCAAGGGATAGTGATCACTGTTTTCCATGGTCTTCATATCTTTCCTCCTTTGAGCTTTGCCTTTTCTGGCATTTTGGTTTGCCAAGCGACTGAATGACCTGTGACCTGTGACCTGTTTGTAGCAGGAGCTTGAGGCCCGGTAGAGGGATCTGGGGGTTCGTCGACGGAGGAAGACAATCCAGTGGTGAACTGGGGGGTGCTTCCAAAGGGGGCGGGTATAGTCTAGATTACCATAGCAGTTGCTCATAGATTGTGAGCCCAGGTTGTGCTGATGTAGTTTTTATCTTACGATAGAATAAACTTCATCATCAGCTCATTATCATGAGTGTCAGTAGAATCTTCATCATCATCATCATCATCATCATCATCATAGAATCAGAGGTATCATCAGCAAAGTTCATGAGCGACGGCACTGGGCCCAGTTCCCAGCACATGCTGTTCTACCAACTCAACGATGTACCTCAGGCGACGCTCGACCCACTTTCCAGCAGGTGTAGCTCCCCACCGATAGACTGGAGCTCCCTGGAAGACAGGGGTAGGAGTGCATGCTCTTCCCATCACTCCGATCTGTTGACGCGAGCGGAATTTTCTTTCAAAAAAAGAACCGCAATTACGTCCAGAGCTCAGTAGAAAAGGTCCTAGTGTGAGTGAGCTCTTAGTGGCTTCAGATCCCTCCTGCTGATTAGACAGCCACATTGCCTTGTTTTGTCTCTTCGAGGTCCAGGGTGTTTTCCTGGTTCAATTACTTCGAGTGGGAAGGATTCAGTGAATTTTTCACCAAGCATTGTTGCAACAGTTTGCCTGTCTTTGCAACTTGCCATTCTTTCTTTCTGTCCATATAACGGGGCTGCTATCAGCTGCAATCAGCGAAAGCGTGCTCATCAGAGTTTGTTTGGCCACATTTGCTGTGCCTAGCACATGAGACACCTTTCCATCTGCAATCTGTTGCAAGGATGTGTATTCCAGGGTGTTGAATGCATTGAGTTTTTTTAGCTTTTCTATTTATGCTTGCATAATAACAGCTACTTCTTTCTCCAATACTTCTCTTCCTGTACTTCCCATTGACTCGGATGCTGAAGCAGAAGTACTGTCATCATTAACCTACAGAACGTAACGACGCTGGGCAAGAAACCTGGCACACGATCGCCCTGGACACGCCCCTTAGCAACAGAACCAAATGCCGTCCTAACCTGTTCCCAAAAGGGCAGAGCGTGCAACTAAGGTGGCCGTGGCCGCACCGGGCGCGCCCCGGCGCTGCACCCAAAGGGCCCGGTCCGGGTCCAGTTTCAAGAACGCAGCTCCAGCTAGGGTTTCGCCAGGTGCTGGAATAGCCCAGCTATGGGCCATGGCTGAGTGAAAAATTAGTGAGGCCACCCAAAAAGGCTCCCTGCCAAAACAAAAAACAAAAACACAAAAAAACATCCATATACACATTGGTTGGTCTGTATTACATAGGCCTATGTAGTATGCACCCAATTTTTGCCTCGCTGCTGTTGCCTGCATTGCCGCCCACGAACCGCTGCATTAAAGAAATACCCAAGTCCCAAAGGGCCACCATTGTTTTCTAATTCTTTTTTTTTTGTGGGAAATTGTTTTTTAATTCGAAGCCATTGCCCTTGTTATAATTGAAGGGCTTGAACCCAATTAAAAAAAG